AAAAAACAGTATACATTGTTCGTACCTAAAGTTTTGTAAGTTAACACTGGATTAAGCTCAGCCACTTACTCATTTTAATCAGTCTCCCTTTTCTTTTAAGTATTCTCAGGACCCCTCGATAATCCTGAGCTGTGTCTGAAAAAAGATCAGTTACAAACAGGAAAAAACTTAAAAAGAGAAGCAAAATAATTTTTTTCAATAACATAAAAAGAAATACACCAGTCATGTTAAAATACTTTAAAAGAACATAAAACTGTAGCATGCTTGATGTTCCTGTCTATGATATTGTCAAGTGTTTTGATTAAAACTGCCATTATAGCTTTCAGATGGAGATCAGAGACATAAATTGGATTTGTCATGTGGCTGTGGTTTTGTTGTGAACATGTAGCTAAAAAGCAAATAGGTGTCATCTGCCTCAACACCTTACCTTATATAATAGATCAACACAAATGGCTTGCACTGCAGTAGATAAAAATGCTTCTATTTTGTGCAAAATAAGCTTTCTTTTAAGTTGAAATGCACTTTATATTACTAGTATAGGTGTAGTACTGTTTCACGGATGAAAATGAAATCAGTCCCCGATTGCATTAATTACCCAACATGCCAGCAACAAGAGGCAGTTTCATGCCAAAGCACTCAATCAAAAAAGGCAGGAGAAGAAGTGGAATTAAAAAACCTGGCCATTTTACAGGTTGGCAACCATGGCACTTACTGATCAAGGGATTATTTCCATGACCATCCAGATTGCCTGTAGTCCTATTAGATTGGTTGTGAGACCTTATCTCCTGATGCTCAGGGCAATGACTATAAAAGCACGTTTCTTTCTCATCACTTGCATAAAGCTTGAGGGGATTTTAGGAGAGTGCGTTGCACATAGGTTACAGGTGACCAGCACAAGAGCTGGGGCGAGCAGCAGCTTTTGAGTTGCTTGTGTGGAGGCTTTGAGCGTTCTTGACAAACAAAATACCAGGCATTGCATGTGCTTTATGCAGAGAAGTACTATATTAACATCCGTCTGAAAGATATACCTTGAATTCAGCATCATAGCATGCTTTTCAGATCACCAGAACTGTAAGAATCTGTTTGAAACTGATTTAATTTGCCTAAATTACCTTTCTTGTCAAATGCCTGCAGCCGTGAACTCTTGCCTTAGTGGAGAAGCTTTATTATTATGTTGGATTGTGTTGACACCAGAAACGATTATACCTTCCTTTGAAATGATTTCTTTTATGTCCAGAAAACGCTTAGATTGAAGAAGTGGACTGTGGTTTTCCAATGCTTATGGGTGATAAATCTGCAAATAGAAAAAGAGCAAAAGCTGTTATTAACAAACTAAAGCCAGCAGGGTAGGGAAACCGGTGCTTTCCCTAAACAAGTTCCTCAGGCATGTCATGAATTAATTGTCTAAGGTAGAACAAAGCAGGTTTAATTATGAGTACTTTTCTGAGCAGGGGTGTTGCAATTAGTTATTTTTGAAAGCTATCTTTATAGGGGAATTTAAATACTATGTATATCAAGTTCCCAGCTGCTATTCAAAGTGTTAATTTATTGTTCTCTGAGTAAGTTCTTACTATGTGATTTGAAAATTAAGCAGCATAGTTTTTCTGAGGTATGTATCAAACATACAGAAGAAGATGGTCTTTTGTACTAATTCTTACAAAGACTGTTCCCTGTTGCAGAGCTAAGATACACAGATAATTTGGTGAGAAATCCTATTAAATAACAGACGAACAAATCTATTTAATGATTAGCAGTGAAAAATGTTTAAATGGATAGTGGCAGTTTATGTAAGAGCCCCACAAATTTTAGCAAAAATTAAAAGTATGTTCACATTTGCCAACTTCACAGTCTCATCTTTTTCCTTACTGAGAGATGTCTGTTGCTCCAAAACTGTGTTAAAAACAAGTCCCAAACATAAACCCTAACCCCTTAACAGTGCTGGACAGAGTATACGTATGGATACATACCTACATACATTTCACAAGGATCTTTTAGAAGCTGAGTATATCTGAGTTTGTTTCATCTTTAAAATATGAAAATATTTAAGAATCACTGCCTTGAATCACCATTTGGAAATTTATTATCTTTTATGGCTCTATATTGTTCTTCTTCGCTTCCTGGCAGCAATTGGCCTTTATTTCTGCCTCCCCGTCCCTGTTTCTATACATTTATGCTTCTCCGCTCTCTGATCTTCCCGACTCTGTCTGGGGCTTGTCACTTCTGTGAAGGTGCCTGCTGCTAAGTAGCTGTCTCCTTCAGTCTGTTGGGGTGCTGGAGCCTTTTGTGTCCCCTCCTCTCGATTTAACTTTATTTCAGTTCTCCTGCAGTTCCTACAGCTGTCAGGTTTCTGTATGGTTTTCCATTTCTTGTTCCAGGCAGCTATTATAAATTGGGTATATATTGTGGGGTTTTTTAGGGTTGGTTTTGGGTTTGTTTGGTGTTTTTTTTCCCGACAGAATAGCTTAATTTTCTACTTTACTAGTGAACTATGGGCTTCCTTTTATAACTCTGTGAAGAAATAGCTATGCATGGTGATTTCTCCACAGACAAAGCAGAGGCTATAAATATGCAAATATCATTTTTGGCTTTACAAAGTTTAATTGCTTTGTATATTATTCAGATTCCTAGGCTGAAAAATCTGACTAGAGCAAGTAACACGTTTGTATATTCACTATCTTAAAACTGCAGGCAGATTGCTGAAAAGCGTGCCAGTTTTTTGAATCTGCAGGTTTGCCTCTTGTTGATGTTATTACAGGGTGTGTAGGGTGCTTGCATGACCAAGGTTCTTGACTGAATGCAAACATCGCGTTTCTAAATTGTACATTTCTCGGAGCTTGTGAGAATCAGTTGGAGCAGCTGCTGCTGCCGTCCTTCTACATGCTGAGATCACAGGAAGCAGAGCTGGAAGGGACCTCAGGAGATCATCTGGTATATCTCTCCCCTAAACCAGGATCAGCTACTTCTGATCATTTCCAAACAGTCATAGACTTTTTTGAGCTTGAGGCAAGAAACCAGGAAGTTCCCATGTTGTGTTTGATATTTGAAATGATTTTTTTTTTTATTGGTTAAAGTATAAAACAGAGGTATAATCCAGTAAAATTATTTTTTTTAAAAAAAAAGTATGTGCGCACAGTATCCGTAAAAGCTCTAGGCCCTGAACTTAGTGGTCACGTGCCGTGTTAGGGGTACAAGACAGGCACTGAAATGCCTCACAAAGTTGGGAACCAGTTCAGTGTAATACTTCAAGCACTCTTTCTGCTCAGTTGGTATTTCAAGTGAGGTTAGAAAAAGGACTAACCTCTGGACGCCCTGTTGGAAGGGCAGGCTGCTATGTTTTAGCTATCATGGAGAGAGACGTATAGATATTAATAACTAGGAGTCTTCCAGTGTCCTAGTTTTAAGGATCACCATATTCAGAGAGATGGATTGCTTTGATCTGGCCACTTGCCTTGAAGTTTCTCTTCACTGGAGGCAAATCAGAGAAAAAGAAAGCAAAGGTATTGATTTGCAAAATTCAAAGTAGACAACATAGATACAGAATTTCGTGAAGAAAGGTGGAAAAAAGGGAAATCCAAATTATTCATATATTCCTTAGAATAGTTCAAAATCTCTCTTACTTTTAAGATCCAACTCACAGGCTGTTAAAATATTCAGAATCCCGTAGCTGAGGACGCATTTGTGCATGAATCCAACCCACTTTGGTATAAGTCCTGAAAGAGGATCTAGATTTGGGAACTCTGGTGTTTTTGATTTGGGAAAAAGATTTGGGAACTTTAGTATTTTCTTTTACATCACAAACTTCTTTAGAGATTATTCATATGCATTAATTACATGATGGAAACTAGTGGATGAGACACATTATTTACTCTTGAGCCCAGACGTGCTTTGAAGTAGTGATGATTCTTTCTTTCCCTGCTGCCCTGTGCTTGCAGCAGACTGGCAGAAAAAACCCTCTGTTTCAGCAGAAGCAGCAGAGACCGCCTCTTGCCAGGTCAGTAGGCAGATGAGGTGGGACGTGTAGGGTTGAATCCCCGCAGACAGAGGCAGGATCCTGGCTGTGTCCTTAAAGCGCTGAACTGTTTAATGGCAGTGTTCCTGTCACCTCCATCCCTCACTGTCTGGCAGCATTTTAAAAGAGCAAACTCTGCTTGGGGTTCTTCATTCGGAAGAGAGTGTCGGAATGAGTCCTTAATGGGATTGAGGTGTCTTCTGCAGGGGGAATGGGGCGCCCTTCTGCTGTGTGTGTCCACGTTGGCTTCGTAGGCAGTTTCTGACTGAGCGTGCAAGCTGCACTCCCGTGCTGTACGGTCCTGACAGTGGGGTCTCACCACTTGCAAGTTAAGCAATGATGCACAGCAGCATGGGACTGGGAGAGCCTTGAATCATGAAATTTACTCATCCCCAGTCATAAACAGTGATTTATAATTAAGTTGGGAACGATCAACAAGAATATTCACTTCCTGCCATGTTTTTTTTCATACGTTTAAGTCCCAAATTCCCACTAACCTAATTACTTTCCTTTCCCTGGCTCTATAACTAGCTAAAGATTTGAGAACAAAAGGACCAAAAACTTACACTTCCAAATTTTCCTGGAAGGAGGAAGGAGAGATCCTCAGACTGATCCTCAGAGTGCTCTGAGTTCATAAAATAGAAGGGAGTTTGTGTAGACCCGACTCCATAATGTTGTGTTGTCTAAAGCTCTTTTCAGATCTAATTCCACGGGAATTTATAGCAGAATCTTATGTATATATAAATATAATATATAAATTCTACAAATGGATGCTTTCTTTTAAGTCATTTGTTTTTCCTGTGTGTGGACTCTTTACATATATTAAAAAGCTGTTTAATAAATTAGTACTTCAACATTTAAAAATTAGTTACCTTTTCACATTTTAAAATAATATATAATTTGTTGGAGATAGTTATTAACACAAAGAGAAAACATAGGTTATTGTATTCTTCTAATCTGTCAAAAAATAACAAGCTTTTTTGTCTATTAGGTGGTAAGAGTGTACAAGGCTGCAGTACAGCAGACACTGGATATACTTTTTCTCCCTGAAGGAAGAGAATTTCTTACAAGCACAGATGCAGTAAGCCGGGACTCAGCTGATCGTACCATTATTGCATGGGACTTCCAAAGTGCTGCGAAAATCTCCAATCAGATTTTTCATGTAAGATTAATACCTAGTATTGTTTGGGTCATGATTTAGTATTTCGTGCTTGTCAACGTTGTAAAAAAAAAAAAAAGCTTTTGATTTTCTCTAAGATCATTCTGTGATGTATAAAATGCTCTCAATGTAAGCTGAAGGCTTGCTTTATTTTTATATTTTAAAAGCACGCACTTACTCTTAAAAAAATAACCTTGAAGACTGATGAATCTCCTTATGTTAAAAATATTTACATTTCAGTGCTCATTCACTGACAGCTAAGCTGTATTTAGGCAAGGCCACTGCAGTGCCATTCTAGCTTGCCAGTGGTGCATGGCAGTAGTTGCTATAGTGCTACATTTCTTTTCCCACACTTTTTCATCAGCTGCAATGAGGGCTATTGACAAATTGAGTTTAATATTTGCATAGTAATAGCAACCTGGTACATGCATATAGATATCTAGTACAGCATAATCGCAGAGGCAAAATTTACTTTTATCAGTGCAGGTGCAGTATTTCTCTCAGTAATCTATCCAGGCAAGATATTTAATGGACTAAATTGTCTAGAAAGGCTGACAGCTTCAAAGGAGATTACCAAGGAAGTTAATAGATAATTCCAACTCCCTGGGTGTTTTTTGAAAACCCAAGTCTAATATCCTATGTAATATAATATGATTGGATTGTATATAGATGCTTTTTGGCTGAAATGAACAGTTCCCTACTGACAAGGACATGTACTTGATGATCTCATGGGATTGTTTCATGTTTAATTTCCACAGTTATGTCTTTGTCCAATATTGGTTCTATCACCATCTTAGGTAGGCAATAGGAGAAAAAAAAAAGAAAAAAGCTGGGAATATATAAAGTACAGACCAGTCAGGTTCAGTATCAAGCAGTAAAAAACAAACAACTTTTTTCTTCTTATCCATTGTGAAACAAACAAACAAAACCCCACGGCCTACCTTCTCACGACTTATAGTATCTCTGAAATAGACGGTTTTCCCCCTTTTCTGATCTATGAATAAACAAAACTTGGTGGTGATTTTGGAAACTCTGCTTCACTTTTCTGAATTTCACCTCTGAACCCTTCAAGGTGGAGAGAACCCCTGAGCTCTCCAAACAGATTAGATCCCAACAGGACATGATCTATTGCTTGTCTGCATTAGCAAATCATAGAATCGTTATGGTTTGGAGAGACCATTAAGATCATCAAGTACAACCATTAACATAGTACTGCCAAGTCAGCACTACATCTACCATCATTTAAATGCCTCCAGGGATGGTGACTCAACCACTTCCCTGGGCAGCCTGTTCCAATGTTTGATAACCCTTTCGGTGAAGAAATTTTTCCTAATATCCAATCTAAACCTCCCCTGGTGCAACATGAGGCTGTTTCCTCTTGTCTTACCGCTTATTACTTGTCTCCCCTCAGCCTCCTTTTCTCCAGGCTAAACAACCCCAGTTCCCTCAGCTGCTCCTCATGAGACTTGTGCTCCAGACCCCTTACCAACTTCATTGCTCTTCTCTGCGCTTGCTCCAGCACCTCAAATGTCCCTCCTGTAGTGAGGGGCCCAAAACTGAACACAGTATTCAAGGTATGGCCTCACCACGGCCAAGTACAGGGGGATGATCACTTCCCTAGTCCTGCTCACCACACTATTTCTGATACACACCAGGATGCTACTGGCCACCTTGGCCACCTGGGCACACTGCTGGCTTATATTCAGCCAGCTATTGACCAATACCCCCAGGTCCTTTTCTGCCAGGCAGTTTTCTGGCCACTGTTCCCCAAGCCTGTAACACTATGTGGGGTTGTTGTGACCCAAGTGCAGGACCCGGCACTTGGTCTTGTTGAACCAAAAGAAAATTTAAGAGCTCCAGAATGACCCATTACTACAGTATACCTAGCATAACAGCACAGTGCTTCTGCAGATAGCATTGTGCTTTCTGATCCCTTACTGTTAGACCTAGTTTCTCCCCAGAAGCATGCAGTGCTCTGCTGCGGGGCACACTGCCTAACCCTGTTTTGATTTCTGTGCCTCATACCTTACAATACCCAGAACTTCCCTCCCAGTTCATCGCTTCCAAACCACATAACAAAACCAGACTGATGTTCTTCCCACTCTACCACATAGCCCATGGTGTCCAGTGATCACTGTCAGCCTGGTATCCTTCACATGCAGACACATCCTACAGCCGAAGCTCTCTTAATTTGTGTTCCTGGCATCAAAATTCAGCACTGTGTCTTTGGGTTAGGCTGAAACAAAAAAGCGTTTGTACCTGGTGGGAAGCTTGCAAAAGCAGTTGATTTCTGATGTTGTCACTGTGCCTTTGGAAGTAATCTTAATTGAGTCCTAAATAGGAGCACTAGTGTAAAGCCAAGTGTTAATTTTTGCAGATATTTATATATTTACAAGCCAGCAGCAGTCTACAGGGCAAATCACTGTCATAAGTAACTTCTGACATAGTAGGCTAATAATGATCCACCCCTTTTTTTTTTTCCTTTTTATACGAGTCAGGAGGGGAAAGGTGTCCATTTAAATGGGGTGATTTCTATTCCTGTCAGTGTGGTGAGACCTGAGAGAATGGAGGATTTGAGAAGGGTACAAAGTAGCATGGAAGGCATGGTATGGCTATGGAGGAAGGGGTATGGGAAAAGAGGATTCGCTTTCACATTCAAACTTCAGTTTTCCTTGGGCAGGAAGAAGATGACTGAGTACCATCAGGTAGTAGTCACCTTTCTGGAGCTGTTCTGCAGTATGACCATGGTTCAGAGGTAGATGGGATTTTGGCCAGTATCTAGGAAATCAGGATAGAGATTTGATTTGATATTTGCATTGGTGCAAGTCTTTCAGTACATCATAATAAGTATCTTAATATACTATGGTATAAGTATATAAGTAATAAGTATCTTAGTATACTATGGAGATGACTTATGTATACCTTGCCTTTTATGGTCGTTCAAATATGTCAAAAGATAACCCAATTTATTTGAAAAACTATTTTGTTTCATACAACAAAACTTTCTTTAAAATTATTTTCAGGAGCGTTACACTTGCCCAAGTCTGACTCTGCACCCAAAAGAGTCTGTGTTTGTTGCTCAGACGAACGGGAACTACATGGCTTTGTTTTCTGCCCAGCGACCTTACCGAATCAACAAAAAGAAAAGATACGAAGGACATAAGGTATCCTTCTTCACCGGGAAGCTAGTATCCAAGCCTAGAAGGAAGACAGATAGCAAAGTACCTGTGCTTTTTAATATGTAATAGTGTTTGATTGTAAATCAGTGATAGACATTAAGTGGCTTCATTTGCTTTCCTGTGTGCCAGTCTATTTTGAATCATATGCACTCTGAAGAAAATAGTTATTAGAAGACTTTATGAATACTTAATAGCTTGATTAAATAAGTTTATGTTATAGCTGTGTCTTAATAAACACCTGGAGAAGTCCTTAGTGTATATTTATTTAAAGATACAAATTTTTTTTTGTACCATGTTCATTCTCAGCATATCACAATGAAGTTTTCTAATCAGCATCAGGAGTTACACTGTTATTGATTTTCACAGGTGGAAGGATTTGCAGTGGGCTGTGAATTTTCTCCAGATGGAACACTTTTGGTGACAGGAAGTTCAGATGGCAAAGTGTTTTTCTACAACTATCATACTGCTAGGATTATTCGCACTTTGTCTGCACATAAAGAAGCTTGTGTGAGTGCAATATTTCACCCAGTCTTGCCATCGCTCCTTGCAACATGTGATTGGGCTGGAGAAATCAAGATCTGGCAATAACAAGCAGAGTTACTTTTCAGGATGTCTGCTGTTAGTCTGTCAAAGGCATAGGGACCAAACCATGGTATGCAATGTGAAATTTTGTTGTGATGTGTTGTAAGCAGGAGAGACTGTCGTCTTTTCTTCTATGACGTCTAAGTGTATGCTTTCATAATGCAGTTAAGATGGTCTTGTGGTTAGCTGCTGAGCAAAGAAGGTCTTACTCTCTCCCTCGGCCCCGATGACAAGTTTCTGCCCCTTCTGTGTCTATCTCCTGGTGCTCATCTAGCCCCACCCTGGTTTGTGAGGCTAAACTTGCAGAAAAATATTGCTCTTTGTATGTAGCTTTTCATTGCAGCTTTCTTAAACCTGGTTTTCACTAGTTTAGCTCCCTGGCCTGGTCACTGATGGGTTAGACAGGCAATGGTGTAGTTCAAGGCAGAACAGCTTCTACACGCAAGAAGGGGGAGGATCGCAGGGCAGGTGGGACTGCTGCTTTTGGAAATAGGTAGCTGTTACCAGCTAAGCTTATTGCAAAATTCCTTCTGAGAGTTCCAGGGAAAGGTGTGCCAGATAACTTGAAGCTGATTTTTAAGTCAGGAAATTTGTGTTCTTGAAATCCCGATGCTTAAACTTGAGTTTTAAACTTGCATTTATGACATATGACATATGTATGTAAACAAAGCAAAACTACGTGTAAATATTTTTAATGAAAAAAATAAACTTTTTTTTTTTGTACATGGTTTCTGTATTTCACTGTTTTACTCTTGTTATTCTTGACGAATTAGTACTCAAGACTATCATGGAATTGATATTTGGGGGGGAACCAATTAATATGCTACCCTAATTTATTGTGAACACACATGCATTTCTCCATACCTTTTGAAGTCACTTATACACAGAAAATTGTCATCATGCTATTCAGTGCAGGTGATGTTCTTTGACATTCAGACAAGATCTGGGCTGTTCTTCAACGAACAGAAAATTCATTAGGCTATAAGTGTGTATTTATGTATGTATAGATTGCTTGTAAATGTGTGTTAAATTTGCACTTGTATTGCTTGATTCTAGAAATTATTATCCATTTTATATGTGTGTGTGTATACATATATGTATGACTGAAAAAAATATGTCTATGCATCACATAAGCCATATGTATTCCCAACCTTGACTCCATATAAATATGTGCAGCCTTGCAGTGGGTGCTATAAGCTCGGCTTGTGTTTGGTCTGATTAGTATTTAAAGGTATTTTAACACTCAGAGCATAATTGTGTTGAGTAAATCGCCTCTGTCATGGAATCCAGAATGTATAATAGCAACTTGTCCATGTAACATCTTTTTATTCTTGTGTTTTTTTCTTATTGGCACAAATACAAGGTTTTTATCCATTTTTTACATACTCACTTAAAATAGGTTTTTCAGAGAAAAATGTTCAGAACACTCTTTCAAATGGCAGATTTTAATTAAGCAATGAGCAAAATGTACTCCATTGGTTTGTAGTTTGTGTTCTCTATAGCTTGTAGTAAGAAATAAGCCTATACCAAGACCGTCGATCCACAGTTACATTGTTTGAAGTCTGGACCAAGATACTGTGGCTGCATTGTTTTAATCATCTTATCCACAGTTATGACGGGTTTTAACACAGGGCATTAAATTTTAGTGAGCCATGCAACATAGTGGGAGTAACTTTTTTTTTCTTAATTTCTTCATTTCTTGCTTCCATGTTCAGCAATTAGCTGTTTGACAGGAGCCTGAGTTTTGCACTTCTCTTGACTGTCCCTCTAGCATACAAGCCAGCTGGACCCTTTAAATGACAACCGGTTCAGTGATTTGATGAGTTACTCTTCATTCAAGCTGTGGGCTCTTCATAAATGTCAGGAGTTCAGCTGAAAGTGAAGTAGTAGTTGCCTATCGTTGGGCAGGCTGAATCACAATGGCGTGGCATTTTCGAAGAGAGCGGCTCTGTGTCCTTCCCTCCAGGTATTTTAGTTCAAAATGTGGTATTGCCACATTAAAACTTCTGGCAACCAGTAGTGTCTATATGAAGCACGGGCAGCACTGTAGCTGTGCACTGCATCCCCTTACCTCCACAAGAGATTATCTGTTGGTTATTTTATTACAGGCAGTGTTTAGAAAGGCCTCTGAAATAAATGTGAGCTCACAGTAGAAATGCCTTATTGGATGAGGCTCCAGCCTATGTGATGGCTGCTCTATAGCTGAATGAGCTCTCGGCACATTCAGCCTCAGCTGAGAGCGTCTCTGGATAGAGTGAAAGATCGAGAGCTCAGCCTTCAGGAATCATTGCACATATTGTCCAGAAAAGTAATTGCATTTTGTAATCCTACCCGTGTTGTTGCTGAAGTTTAACTTATGTCCTAGGGCATGATTCTGCTGGCTGACATTTACCCCTCCTGAAATGATCTTGCAAGTATAAATTTTAGGCTATTTACAGGGGGGAGGGAAAAGCTTAATTTTGATTACAGGGGGTAGAGAAAAATAAAAGGAACTTGATACTGTATAATCTTAAAGAATATTAAAATTGGAATTGCATTTGTGTCAGATTTCCAAGATGGCTGGAGTTTTAATTACTTACGAGATCCAGCCAAAGGTTTTATAATGCAATGAAATTATGTTCGCAGCATTATCTTGTTAAAATCTCTTTCTAATATAAAACTGATTAAGACACAGACTGAAACTTAATAATTGGAAATATTTTAGCATAGTGGTGTCAATTAAGTTTTCATTATGATTCAAAGACAAATTCTTCCTTGTAATCTTATGTAATGAACTGTAATCAAAAAATATCCACATTGCTCCATCATTCTGCAATTACCAAATACTGTTTGGGCTGCAAACAAGAATTATTATGGTCAGAGGCAGCTTTTAGAATGTAATGAATTGTTGGTTAATTAATTTTATTCATAAAATTGTAATCTAGAAATGTTTGAGTCTTGCTTTAGGAGCAGTTCTTCTAGCTTTATGTAGAGCTCTCTAGGGCATTGCATATTTAAGCCAAGGCAGAGATCTTCAACATTTTGAAATGGTCTAGGCTGCGTAGGTAAACAAGCCAGATTCATTTTAATCTATTTTGTACTGTACCAAGAAGTAATAATGCCAATCTCTACCACTTTATTATTTGCTACTGGACCGTTATTAATTTGCGGTGTCAGAGGATGTAAGCTATTCAACTGTCTTTATCTCAAAAACCTGCTAATTACCAGACAGTTATTAGAATCATTGTGTTCACTCAGCTGAAATAGTGTTGGTGAGTCACTCTGTGTTTCAACTATAGGCCTAATCACGAAAATAAGGTATGGCATTACAACAGGATGACTCTTTCTCTAGGGGACAGGCAAATGTAAATCTACAAGACTATGGCAGAAAAGAAAAAAAACAGGAAGATCAAAAAATCGTGGGATCCCAAATGACCCTGATATAGGGGTTTGGACTGCATTCGACTGAAACTATTTGCTCTTGAGCTAACCTTCATCTTGTTCTCTTAATCCCAGCTCCTCCTAGCCACTGCTTGCATCTTCACCATTTAATTTTCAATTTTTCTGTCCTTATTTCAGCACCTTGTCTTCTGCATTTAAATGTATAATAGTCTATATGCTTAACACTACATTCATCGTCTCTTCAATAAATGTCATTTTGCTGTGCTCTGACTTGTGGCTTTCAGGCTTTCATTCCAACTGTCATTAAAAGGCAGCCAGAAATCTTTGCACTCTGTTCTTGCCTTTCTCTGTTTTCCAGTTTTAATGAGGCTTATTACTATTGGAGATCCTCCCCTCGTTCTTAGCCTCTCTTCCATCTGCTGCTCTTTCTACCTTTGATTACTGCTTTACTATCTTGCAGATCCTTTCTATTAGAGCCTCTTCTACAAGGTACCTGCATCAGGGTTTTAGTTCATCAGGAGTGATTATTTTTGGGGAAAAAAATAATAATAACAAAAAAAATCTCCCAGTTATTGCCACTTACGATTCTTTGGTTCACAGAGTGCACTTCTTTTAAATGAACCCAAATGAGAAGGTACTCCGAGTCCATATTTAACGTGTCCCAGCTGGTGGGACTAGACTGGAGATAGTTCAGAGTATCCCCTACCCCCTAAATGCATGTAGGTTAGATGCTGCATTTTCAGAAGTGAGACAAACTGCAAATTTACTCTTGTTGGGCCTTAATACTTGTTAATGTAAATGTAGCCTTAGAAGTTTCAAAGAGTCCTTGGTACTTTCCCCTTTCTTTGATAGATCTCTCACCTATCTCTTCATGACTCACCGCTCTGCACAGAGTGGTCAAAGGTCTGATGTTTTCACACTTCAAAGAGTGGAGGTGCAGGAAATCAAATTAATTTATGAAAGGAAAAGAAAGGCGTTTTAGAAGCTCTTGATCTCCAGTGGTAGTAAGACAAGCTGGCTCCTGTCCAGAGCTTGATGCATTCTGCCACGCGTATGCAACAGCTCTGAGTTGGGGCACAGCTGCCTGGTCTGTAATGGGAATGGTGGGTCTCCTATGGGAGTGGGGCTCCCAATGAACTCAGTCACCTGCCTTTCCCAGTCCCTGGATATCCTTCTACACAAGCTTATTTAGAAGCCTACCAGAAAGTACCTAGGTACTGCACAAAAATGATGAAGCTTCATCCAAATGTAATTTTCACTATGTTTTCAGCATTTTAGATAAGTACCTCTTAAAATCAATCTAAAATCTCTTGCAGGGACTCTTTGGAGAAGGTTGAAGTTCACCGAGGTTGAAAATATGGGAAGTTACATTCCAGACACCTTCAGCTAGATCTGTTTGTCCCCAATTTCCATCAGCAGGGCCACTAAACTCATTTAATGTTTCTAATTCTGAGTAAGATTTATACTAACAAATTGTTTGAAGTTTGTCCTTAGAAGAACAATTTATGTAACAACTTGTGCATAAGTGTACCATCTCTGGTATAGACCTGGTTACCTTGAGAAAGCAATTTTCTTGTGTTCAAGTTGTTACCACTCTCTTATAAGCAAACAGCAAAGAATTGCCT